TCTAGATTTATTAATCATGTCTTGCACTAGGAGCACAATCTCTCCTGTTATCTGAGAAATTATTTCTGATTTCATTTCTTCCAGATCCCCTTTTGTTGCCAGTTTAGTAGGTCCAGGTGGTTGAGTATCAGAGTGTTCCATCTCATTTCCCTTTGGAGTTGCTATAGGTGATCTGGAAGTCTGGTTTTGAGACTTATTTAAGGGTCTTCTCATTTCTACTTTGGGGGGTAGGGGGGTGTTGCTGGCGCCCATGTGGCTCACCTTCTCTGAGATGGGAGAGGTGGGACAGGGGCTGGGAGCAGCGGGACAGAGCGCAGCCCAAAAGCCCTTTCCTCTGGGCTAGAAGAGGTGGACTTCATGCTCATTTTTGACTTTGGGAAAGAGCCAGAAGTTGCATGGTGGCAGGCCCAGTGGATAAGGAGGATGAGGACACACAGTGACGATTTTATTTGACTGAAATTGCTGTACTGGAAGTGATATGTGATCTGGAGCATTGTCATGTCAGAGGATGAAAACATTTGCTCATTTCTCAGGCCATTTTCTCCAACACTCTAATAAGCCCTTCCAGTATGCAGAGTTCACCCTAGCGTTCCTGGGTACAAACTCAGTTTGCACAATTCCATCAAGGTCAAAAACACTGTCAGCATCATCTTGATGTTGGATCTTGATTGATGGACATGATTTTTTTTTTTCACAGAAGGAGAACTGGGTGATTTCCATGGACAACTCTGAACTTCAGTGTCAGCATTGTAACCACAGACCCATTTCATCTCCCGTGACATTTCTTAAGAAGCTGGAATCTGAAGTAGTACTACTGCACTACTCCAATGAAATGCATTGTTCGTGATCCATGATTTACAGCACACTACAACTCACCTCCTCTCAACCTTAGCCCGCAACAGACAGGTTGTGCTGAACAATTTGAAACTTGTCACACACACATTATTACTAAGGTTCCATGTGCAGCTTCTGGTGATGAAAATCCCTGCCTTTCCACTAGATGGCACTCAGCAGCAGCCTTCACTGTGTTTTTGAACACGCCACATATAAATTGCTAAACACAGCAGGCAAAGAGGCAGTGTGTGGCCATATTTCCTACAGCCCTCTGGGTCTCAGTCTCCACTTCGCTCCTTGCTTGCAGAGTTTGTTTTCAGGTGCTTCTGCAAGAGAGGAGGGGCTTCGTCCCCACTTGGAAAGATTTTTTTTTATACCTCCCATTGCAACACACCTGCCCTCTCCGTTCCCTCACTCCTGGGTCCCACAGAGAAGCAGAAGCTGAATGGCCCCTGAGCATATGAGGGCCACCCCTTGTTATTCCCCCAACCCCCTAGCTGGAAGTGGCCTCTGTGCCCAGCTTCCCCAAGCTGTCACTTGCCCACCTGGCTTTTTGCACCTGTCCAATCCAAACCCGGGAACCTGTAAGTGTAGGTTTTATGAGCAACCTTACATCTTATTTTACTTAACTCCCAGACAAAGGTCCAGATTGCAGGTTATGCCATACAGCTTCTTCTGCGCTTGACCCCTAGGGCAGAACCTGCCACAGAGGGGAAGGTCTAAGACAGTTCCCAGCACACGGACATGGGGGTGCCTCCTGGAGACTCACCTCTGGCATGTCTTCCCCACCACGTGCTTCCGGCACTTGCACACCCCGTGGGGCTCACTGCACGTGGGAGTGAGTGCCCCACCAACGTCACACTGACACCCTGAAAGTCAGGAAACAGATGCCGTTACCCATCTGACCACCTCCAGGAAAAGGTCTCCCTCCCTTTGCAAGAAGGAAATGCTAATGACCTTCTTTCCTCTGTCAGATCTTATATCTGGCAGGGGTTTGAAATATTCAGGAAACTCCTAAGGGAAAATGGCCTGAACCTCCAAAAGTCCGCTTCTAAATTGGAAGTGCATGACTGCAGGCAGGGTGGTCACCAGTGTCACATGCAAAGGTGACAGTGCCAGGAGCACTACTGTAAACAACATGCGCTAAGGAGCAGACGGGGTGCCAAGAGTATCCTTATGGGCCAACTTCTCCTGCAAGGGCATTATGTAATACAACCCCGTCTCTAAAACACTGGCTTTTCGGATAATACAAAATACAGCTTTAAAATGATTAAGCATTGCTGTTATTTGTAACACAATCAGGTGCCCTCCCATCCCAATTGTTTTTGCTAATAATTAAACCAATGGTGATCTCGTAAGAGAGAAGTTGAAGCAGCTCCATTTTTGATCTATGACTTGTGCCTGCTGAATATGTGGCCAAATCCCAGGACTGGATGTTTCAGTGCTATTCCAGAAATCAGGCCTGAGAAGACGTCTCTGACAGTCTCTGTCCTTCACCTCTGCTTGCCTCAGGACCCATTGGGCAGGTTTACCTTCACATCCAAAGTAATTTTGCTTTTTCAAAGTGAAATATCCATCAGGGCAGGTGTCACAGGCATTTCCAGTCACATGGGCCTTGCAGAGACAGGCCCCATTTCCCTGTGGAACAATGAGCCCAATGAGAAAAACTGAGAAGAGCTACAGAATTAGCCATCTTCAAGACTGAGAACTGGCTCATTGTCCAATAGGAAGCAAGGCTGCCAGATCTGAAAAAGGTGACCATGAGTGTACAGCCAGAGGGGTGCCCATCTCCTCCCCTGGAAACCCAGTAATGACTGCGACAATGTTCTGCCACTCTTATATGAAAAGCAGCCCACATTACCTGTCCACACTCTCCAATTTGGCTCAGCGTTCCCGCCTCATGACACCTGCACTCTGTGGAGATAAGAAAGTGTCCTTGAAACAAGGTTACACCGTGGACGGGTCCCTGAAATGCCTGCCACCCAGCACATGCACTTCCCGCACACGTCAGCAGCACTGCCGCTCACACGGCTGCACCTAAAATTGGATTTTTTTCTGGAGTGAGCAGAGCAGGTCAATCAATACAACCCATCTAGGAGTCACAGTTTATGGCAATTCCGAGACAAAAGCTGCAACGGCATGGGATTTTTAAAATGAGCCCAATGTCAAGGTCATTGCTGGTGTGCTGGCATGAAAATATACTCTATTTAAAGATACTCGCTTCATTTAGTACCCCTAACTCAGTGAATGCAATTTATTATTCTGGCATCAATTCAGGTATAAATTTTAAATTAAGCCAAAAAGGGTAGGTTATAAAAGCAAAGGGGAAAAGAGCATTTTTCAAGTAGCTGCCTTCATATACAACAACATACATATGGGAACAGAACATAAACGCCTTGATGGGAAAAACATTTCATGGAATTTCAGAGATTGAATTGCTTCAACAAATAACTTTTGTGTAACAAGAAGCTACAAGATAAGAAGTGATGATGTGTTCTAAGGAACTTTACCTGAACACCCATGGGGGTTTTCTTTGGCCAGATTCCAATACAATGGCTTGCAGACATTACAAGTAGAACCTTCAACGTGATCCTTGCATTGGCAATGCCCCTTTAAAGGAAAATCAAATTAACAGTGGAATTAAGACCTGTTTTCAAACGTGCATTCTGAGCAAAGGCTTGTCACAGAGCCTTATTCTGCCCATGAAAAGTAAATGAAGTATATCTGGGGATTGATTTCAACAAGTCTTCTAATTTCCTTTTCTTTTATTCATTTACTTGCTGCACACATAATCTACATTATTGTTAAGAAGAAATTGGACAATACAGAAAGAGAGAAAAATGTAAATATCGTTCCTATTTATAACATTGTGTCTGTTCATGTTGTTGCTGTAGACTCTACGTTTAAATGGACAAATATCCAAATGCTTAACAGATTGGGAATCAGTAAAGAATGATGTACATCAGAGAGTGCTTTGGTAAAAAGCAAGATTCTCTGCCTGGCTTCTGTCTAATCGAGTCTCACATTAAGGATGCCAGGACCTCTTTCTCACTGTCTGCCCATTGCCCATTGCCCAGAGGAACCTCTCCAGGCCTTAGAAAATTGTTCAGAATACCACAATATGTGCCTGCAGTACTGGAACGGTGGGGCAATCTGTTTGTATACAGCCAACTTTATTACCCTTGTAAAGCCACTGCTGGACCCTGGGCCTCAGGGTAACCTACAGGAAATATAACATTTAAATAAATTTTCAATAAATGTTATTCTTTGGCTTATGAAAAATCATCTATGCACTTGGAAAAAGAACACAGACCTCTTTAAGAAATTTGGCCTTGGGTCTTCTTGTAATTTATTTTTAATTTCAAGAAGCTCCCACGTGGCTATTGTCGAATAAGCGTCCAAATAATAGAGTTGTAATTCTACTCACCGATGTGAAGCTGGCGGTTCCAGCTGGGTCACAACCTCCACCGAAACCTGTACATGGTTCAGAAATGTTGTCAATGTCTGGCAGTTTGACTTTGTCTTGATATTTCACATTTTAAAACTTTTGCTTGTCTTTAAAAATAGTGAGGCTATATTTATATTTTTAAATAAATGGGTGGCAAAGACTTTGTGTGCAGTTCATAGATAGGCATGCTGAATAATGTTGATGATTCTTAATTCCCAAATTGGTCCTTCTTTTGTCATTGAACAACTCAATTCCCTGTCTCCTAATAAAACATCTAACTGAAGACTAGAATGTAAAATTTTGAACATCTTTAGGGTCGTCCAGTAGAGGGCAGTATTGTACCAAGAGATTTTAATTTGTCCAGTCACAGAATTTCTTAGTTCAGTTTTCAGTTAACCGAGAGTTGATTCTTTAATTATTATAGCATTTTGTTCTATACCTGTGCTAAAGTCATTTATAAAGCCAATTTGTTTGCCACTGTGTGGTGGTGGATACTTGTAATGCCAATACTCTGGGAGGCTGAGGCAGGAGGACCACAAGTTCAAGTCCAGCCTGGGCAGTTTAACAATTAAAAAGGACTGGGGATATAGCTCATTGTGAAGGTACTGACTGGGCTTGATCCCAAGTCACACACACACACACACACACACACACACACACCACACTCAATTTATTTGCATTCCTGCCTTTGTCAACATAGCACAACAAGCCTAATGAAATCTCTCTTTAACAAGTGGAGCAGGGCCAATGTTTCAGTGTCGCTATTACACAGCCTTTACAATGGCAAACAGGTTAGGTAAGCCTGTTCAGAGCCTGGTTTTCAAATCATATCTTATATAGATCTGCAATCAAATCTAGTTTCTTCTACAAATTGTTCCTTAGCTTTTTGCCTGTTTCCTCTGTCTCTGTTCACCTCAACTTCCATTTGGTCTCTCCTCCTCCTCCTCTTTCCCCTGTATTTTTCTCTGTTAGTCAACAATCCTTCTCCACCCCTCCTGCATTTTTCTCTATTAGTCAATGAGACCTTCCTGCTCCCTTTCCCACACGGCCCTGCCCAGCCTTGGGTTCCTCCCTGAGGACCAGCATGGTATACACAGTCCCTACACCAGGTGCGCATACAGCACTGCCCACTGGCCCTGGCTGCTCAGCCTCTGCTGCGACGCTTCCTTCCACTCCCTGAGCCCCACACAGGGCAGCCCGCCCTGAGGTGCCCTCGCCTTCTGGGACCCTCAGGCCTTCTCAGGGGTCAGTACCCCCTCTGACCACTGCCTGTGGTTCCCACCCTCAGGAAACCCTGGTCCTGGGATTCAGGTTGGCAAGTTCTGGGAAACTGGGTCTGCAGAGGGCTCTGGACAGCACAGCTCCGAGTGTTATCAATCAGGAGAGGGACAGGGCTGAGGAGACCATGCTCTCGGGCGGGAAAGCCTGGGTCAGCCTCCACAAATTTCTCTTCTCAGCAGAGCAAGAGGCCCCCAGACAACAGGCAGCAGCTCCTGACACACCCCAGAGGCTGCCCACAACAGGGGGCTCAGGGAGGAAGGTGGGCATCGCGTTTCTGTCCCTTCTGTCACAGAACATGGCCAACTCATGCTCGGTCTGTTTCCATCTCCTCCTTGGCCCACTTTTTCCCAGCCGCTTGGCCCCTTTCCTGGCATCTGTGCTCAGGTGTAATGACACAGTGCCCCAGAGGGCAGAGGCACCAAGCAGAGAGGCACACAAACAGCCACAGTCAGAGGGTCCGCTGGAAAGATCCCAGTGTAGCTCAGGCTCACAGCAAAGCCAGCAAGGAAGACAGCATTGCGCCTTAGTTCAGGGCCAGCGAGTGCCACACTGCTGTGCTCAGAGAACTGCCGTATCCACCAAAAGCCCCAACTCTGCAATGCACGCAGATTTAAACTTAACTGCAAAACACATCATTTCTCATTCTTTGAGGACACAAATGTGTGTGGTTTCAATGGATTTAAACAGGGGCAGACTGGTTCAAACAGGTGGGGGCGACCAGGGTGGATCTGCAAGGGATTTATAGGCTCCTTTGGGGGGGTTGGCTGCATGCCCTCAGAGAAACCCCCCGACAGCATTCTGCTGATGTCCCTACCTTGGCACTGGGGGAAGTCAGGGGCTCCTGAGAGGCACCTGTCACACTGCCGTCCCGTTAACCCAGGCAGGCAATCGCACTGTCCAGTCACCCGGTTGCAGGACGTCCAGCAGGATCCCAGGGCTGAACACTGGCAGGCTGGGTGAAAAGAGCTTGATCAGACTCTGGGCACAGGGAGTGGGAGGGGCAGGGAAGGGTCCTGGGCAGAGCCCGGGGATGGGGCCAGAAAGACCCAAACGCCAATTCCAGCTCCACTCTGAATAGACTGGGAGCCAAATCCCAGTTGTGGGACAGATCTCAGCCTCTGCTTCCCCTCTCAGGAATGGAACTGAACTACTTGATAAGATCCTGGTGAGGACCGAGTAAGATGATACTTGAAAGAGCCGAGACAATGCTTGTCATAAATGCTTGTTCTTCTTGCTGTTGTTCATTTTGTATTCAGTAAGTGGCTGGTGGCGGGTGGGGCCTTTGGGGGTGCTTCTCACATATGGAAATGGCCTGGCTAACTTTAGCCAGAGGGCTTCACATCCTAATGAGACTGGAAGGAACCTGAGAGATGGTCCCAATGAATCCACCATTGCATGGAGACATTCCGAAATTAAGTGCCATTTCTGAGTCACCCAACTATTATTCTAATCACACAAGTTCCCACTGCTTGGGAAAATGTTCTTTACCCTATTCCAAATTAGTGGGAATCAATGAATTAGTATTTCTAAGGTCCAAATTAATATCCACTGTACTTGGTTTAAAAAAAATAAAAAGAACCTTATTTACAAGGTCTCAAAGGTTTCACACTAAGTGGAAGCATGGGAAAGAAAAGAACCATAAAGCAAAGTCTCATTTTGGGCGTTTTATTTATTGGTCCTCTGGGGTTCTAACAAGCCCTATATGACTAAGCCTAGAACCACAGCACCCCGCGGGACCAGAAGACCATGTAGTTTTTATTCTCTTCGATGCCCATTAGTGGTGACTTATTCTGAAAATGGGTTTCAGTAATAATGTTAATGAGCTTTCCCTCATTGTCCTTGGAATAAAAAAATAAATTCTCACTGATGGAGGGGAACTGAGCTAGTTTTCTTACAACTTATCTGGGAATTCAACAGCTATGTCACTTGTTCGGAGGGACACAATTAATGGGAGACCCAGAGAATTCACCACCTCCTGCCCTCCCATTTTATATCCACCCAGCCAGAAGACACTGTGTTCAGTAGTGCCGTGGCTGGCTATGTGGTGGAGGTAAATACAAAAATACAGTTCCAGATCTCAAAGAACTACACGACCGGAAGAAGAGCTAGAGAATTACTGACATAATAGGACACTCCCTACCCCACAAGAAACTAAATAGGAGAAACAGGACTAATGCTGCACCACCAGCTGTTCAGAGGTAGCAGGACAAGGGCTCAGATCCCCTCCTGCCATCTCTATCACTGTTCTTCCATGGCCCCATGGCCCCACTAGGCCAGTCTGCAGATTAAGTCCTCACCTAGAGGCAGATTTCTAAGGAAATGTTCTTGGCCATTACAGGGCAGATGGAATGCTGTTCCCAAATTACCAAGGGGAAATCCATGATGGGGATAAAAAAGAATATGTCTGGAATGCAGGAGATTCCTTATGGTGTCCCTCCGTATTACCATGCCTCGTGACTAAAGTCAGTGGAAAACATCAACCCCAAAACCACCAATGGCCTAGACCCTCTACAAAATGAGGACTGGGGTGACTCTGCCAGGTGAAGAACCATGACCAGCTGAGGTGCCTGCTGAAGCCAAAGAGAAGAGGGAACAGGCAGTGGAAGAAGATCTTATCAGCTATGACCACATGGAAAGTTACAGAAACGATGAAGATAGAACTATAACGAGTATTTGTTCCTTATTTTGGTATGAATGTGGTGAGTGTGTGTGTGTATACCATATGCATATGAAATAAGTATGTCTTCCTCCCTCATCCATACAATATGAGACGTACAGACTTCACATTGTATAATTTAAGTTACAGAATACCAAGAAGAAGTGTGAACATCACCCAGGGATTTCACATTTTCTTCGGGGCAAAGGGTTAGTATGTTTTTTATTGTATGCATGATAGTTTTATCATGCTAGGCAGAATTATGCCCTTCTTATAGTGTTTATTCAGAGATTACATGTGGTTTAAAGAGATGTGAGTGGGTGCCCCATGGGTGACTTGTGTTGGTTAGTTTTATGTGTCAACTTGGCTAGGCTATGATGCCCAGATGTTTAGTCCAGTGCCAGTCCAGGTGTCCTGTGGACCAATGTTCTGGATGAGGTTCACACGTGAATCAGTACACTTTGAGTAAAGCAGGTAACTTTCCATCATCATCCACACAAACAGCTGAAATCGTTAAGAGAAAAAGACTGCCATCCCCCTAGGAAGAAGGAGGAATTCTGCCTCCAGACTGTCTTCCAACCGTAGCTGCATAATCAGCTCTTCCCTGGGGCTCCAGCCTGGCAGCCTACCCAGCACACTTCAGAACTGCCAGCCATCACAAGCCACAATCCAGTCTGTTAAAATAAGTTTCTCTCTAGATATCCACACATTCTATTAGTGCTGTTTCTCAGGAGAGCCCTGGCTGATTCAAGCTCATTTTTCTCTAAAGGGAGGTGAGTGTCTCAAAGAAAAGCCGGGGTACTCGCCCGGCGTGGTGGCTATACTTCCATGGCATGGTGTGGATGGCACACACTGGCCCTTAGGACTGCAGTCTGGGAACACTCCGGAGGCGAGAACAAAGACTTGCCCTTAAGAGCACATACATTGTTTTAAACGAATTACCCAATCTGGCAATGCACTTCTCACTTCAATCCAACTGTCCGTGAAAGCCGCCAAACCTCAATGCCAAGCCCAGCCCTGGGCGTCTTTTTCCTCACTCATGGAAATACTGTAAGGCTCCAAAAGCATTTTAATTCTGTTCTCTCTTGTGGTCCAGGTCCTTTGGAATTCCTCTTTACTTCTCATTTGCTGTGCCCTAAGACACTTTTCCTCCCTAGCAATGTAAAAAATTAATGCAAGTTGAGCATCCCTCATCTGAAATGCCTGGGACCAGAGTGTTGGGACCAGAAGTGTTTCAGGATTTTTCAGATTTTGGAATATCTGCATAAACACAATGAGATACCTTAGGGATGTGACCCAAATCTAAGCACAAAATTCATATGTACTTTATGCACATAGCCAGAAATAATTTCATACTTTTTTGAAACAAAGTCTCACTAAATTGCCAAGTTGCCCAGACTAGGCTTAAACTTGCAATCATCCCTCCTGCCTCAGCCTTCTAAACAAATATGCACAAATATGTTTTATAAACATGTAGACAATTTGCCAATCTGGCCTCTTATTGGTGGTTTTATTTCTACTTCTAAGAAAGAAAATCATAGGGCACTTTGTGAACCAAAGTCAAAATGGGAGAATACAGCATACTTAGAAAAGTCTGGATTCAATTAATCTAGTGCAGAACATAAATCCAGGTCTGTAATTGGCATGAACAGAAATGTTTTAAAATTCCATTTAAAGAATATTTTTTAAATCTTTAAAGCAATAAAAAGCAGAGCCATAAGAACAGATTTTGGTTCAAATCTATTAGACCACCTGATGTAACATTTTGAGCCACATTCAATTCTAAAATTCAGTGGGTCAATTTATTCTCTTCCTCTAAAAATGACCAGAAAAGCTGTCAGGAAAGAAGACAAATGCAAGAGAAGGGAGACCAGCAAGGAGAACATGCTGGGTGATCCCAAACCCTTCACCAAATTATTCTAACCTAAAGCAACAGGCTGCAGGAAAGACCTGGACACCACCCAGGAAAAAGACAATGGCGCATCATTTCCTGTAGAACTCAGAGAACTGCATGTGAGCACTTGTGGGCTTCTCTAAGGCTGGACAAGCACTAGCGGGCATTAGTTCTCAACAAGGATAGGACACTAGGCAGGCTGCTTCCCTTCCTCCAGCTTGAATGTCAAAGCCTAAACAATGTTCCCTCACTGCCCATCCACTCCCTCTGAGTAGAGTGGAGAAAAAACTGAAAAATAAAAGGGGGTGGTATTAGAGGACAGGATTTACCTGGCCCTCTCTGCATTGCAGGCTGAGACTCTTCCCCTAACCAGAGCCATGATAGAACTGCAAATGGGACCAGCGGAGGCTGACTGCAAACATTCACCACAAGGACCACACAGTGCCAGCTGGGGTCCTCCAGTCCCTCCCCTAAGAGTCTGTGAGCAACCATACCACTTCCATGCTTCTGGTGAGTTCAGAAGGCTTTGGGAGACCTCTGCAAGCAGAGCTCCAAACCAACTCTACCAACATTGTAAATGAGAAGACAAGTTCTTATTTCTGAAAAGTCTTGACTTCATTTAAAGTACAGGACATGGCATCGTCTTCATGCACTGTAGCTGACTGAAGAGATTTTCATGTCAGCTGTCATCTTCTTAAGAAGAAAAATGCTGCAGTTACAGCTTAGAGGAGTTCCTACTGTCTCATAGGATCTGAGGGGACTAAATTTTCTCAGAAAGCTGAGGATCTGACACATAGTTTTGCCATCTCAACTTGGTTGTTTCTGCCATGGGGAAACTATTCCTTCCCCTGTTCCATTCATGTGGTTCAGATGTGTTGGTTCCACTCCCAGCTCCAAGAATATGGGGAGACTCAGGCTTGAGCAATCAGGGCATGAGATTCCAAGGCCACAGGACTGGTTAGTACAAATCACTCTGGGTGTGCTTTTGAACTTTATAGTGGTTACCAAAGTTACTGCTTTGGTAACTTCACCTGGGTGTGGAGTCCTCTGCATTTATTCTGCTTGGAGTTCATTGAACATCTGAGAAGTACAGGTTGTCTTTCATCAAGTTTGAGAAGTCTTCTGCTATTATTTGTTTGGTTATTTTTTTTATCCCTTTCTCTCTCTCTCCTCACCTTTTGGTATTCACATCACACATATGTTGGTGCACTTAATGGTATTCATCTTTCTTCGCATTTCTGTTCATTTACCTTCATTCTCTTTTCTGTTTTCCAGATTGCATAATCTCTATTAAGCTATCATTAAATTTGCTGGTTCTTTCTTCCACCAGCTCAAATCTAGTGTTGAGCCCTTTGCATGAATTCTTCATTTCAGTTATTATACTTTTCAACTCTAGAATTTCTATTTGTTTCTTAGGGTTTGTTTCTTTTAAATAGCTTCTACTCTGTATTAATACCCACTATTTGAAGATACACTGTCATCATGTCTCCTTTAATTAATCAATATTTACACAGAAAGGTACAACTGCTTTACAGTCTATCTACTTTTTCCACCTTCTGACCTAATTCAAGAGCAATTTCCACTGTCTGCTTTCTACTTCTGTTTCTTTGAACATATAATTTTTTGAAAACTCTACATTTTAAGCAATATATTGTAGCAACCCTGCTACTGATTCACCACCATCACCAAGACTGTTATTGTTTGTCTCACTGACTGATTATTTGTTTAGTGACATGGCAGAATTAATTCTGCAGTCTATTTCCCCGGCCACGTTCAGTCTTTGATGTTCCAGATTAGATTTTTCCTCTTGTTTTTGTCATTTGGCCTGGCTGCCTCAGGTTGTGCATAAGCTCCTGTGGTCACTTAGATGTTCATCCATCATCATTGGATATGTGTGTGTCATTTGCAGGCTCCAATCATAGTTTAGGGAGTTTGCTTTTTCCCTTCCAATTCAGCCAAGGACTATTACTTTAGATTCTTCTTTCTTTGCTCACTTTGATGCCAGTGAGGCCTCATCCTGTGTTGATGGGTTGGTGTGTAGTCTGGGGATGTTTCTGAGTCAGTCACCCACGCCTTGCTCCAATTGCTTCTGAGTTGGTGCAGCGTTCTTTTTTTTTTTTTTTTTCAGTACTGGAGATCAAACTCAGGACCTTGCACTTGCCAGGCAGGTGCAGCATCTCTGAGCTACATTCCTGGCCTGGTGCAGCCTTTCAATGTGCTCATGGGCCTCCTAGCCTCTGAAATTATCTATGAAATCATGAAGTCTTTTCTTGGCTGTTTGTTTCTCTGATTCTCCTTCTTGGCTTCTCTGCTGTTCTGCTTGCATCCCAATTACAGCCTCTTTTAATTGTGATCCACCAAGATTTTCATTATTTTCTACAACACCCTTGGGTACAGAGTTTTCCACTATATTTAAATAGCAGTCAATTCCTCTGGCAAAGATGCAGGCCTGCCTTTCCTCCTGAGTGGAGTCATTGAACTAGCAGATCTGGGGGTGGGAGGAGTGACACCTCTCCTCTACAAGTGGATCCTGGGAGAGGTGGCAGCCTCTAGTCTTCTCAGCTTGCTCTTCCCAAGTGGACTCTCCATGCTACCAGCCGGCGGGAGCTGGGTAGGGTGATTGGGAATTCAGTAATTCTCAACCTGCAGGGCCTTGGTTACAATTCCACCATATAGTGTGTGTGTGTGGGGGGGGTGACCACCTTGCCCATGTAAATGCCAAGGTTGGAATATTTGTAATTCACTGTACCAGAATTTGGGATTGTTGCTGGTATTGAGGAGAAAATAGAAAGATCTCTAGATTCTTTCAGGTACAGAATGGTTTGCTTTTATTATAAGGATGGCAGCTGAAACAGAATTAAAATTAATGTCAGTGGATCACATAGAAAATTGACATGAGATACTTTTGTCCACTTCTTAACCCAAAAGAGTTTACATTCAAAGATGTAATGTGGAGAGTGAAAACAAACAAACAAACAAAAAACAAAAAACAACAAAAACCAAAACATGACTAGAGAATGCTTACCTATGATAGCCCTGTTTTAAATATCTGGAGAATGAGATAAACCACTTGGCTTCCCCAGTCCTTTCTTGCCCTGCTTTTATAGGACAGAGATATTCTTTATTACTTAAAATCTTGGGGCAACCCACTTTCCAGCCCCCCCTTCTGTCTCTCTCAGACAGAAGCTATCTTTCTCTCAGTAAGTTTTTCCTACTCTTAAACAAAAAAATCCTGTCTAATCCCAACATGAGCCCCTCAGGCATTGGCCTGCAGTGGACATGGGAGATGGGTGGTTTTCTCCCCTCCCTCCTGCCGGTTCCATTAGTTGGGATATCTTTCCACAGAAACAATACATACAAGGACAAAGGATCAAACCTGACCACAGAAGCAGTTTGGTACAGAAGCTACCTTTTGTACACATTACGATAAAAAAATATATGGTGAGTGTTTAATTTTTTAAAGTTAGTAGAGTAAAAGACATTCCCATTAATCTTCCTCAAAATCCTTCCCCTGGCTTTGAACATATCCCATTGTTCTTACCACCTTCTGGAACAGTTCTTGAAGTCTTCTGTCATGTCTGAGTATATTCTATTTCATGGCCATTTTGACTTTGGGAAAGAGCCAGAAGTGCAGATCCAGTGGATAAGAACACATGGTAATGTTTTTACAAGGCTGCGTTTTTATTAGACGACACTCAGTGGTGGCATTCACTGTGTTTTTGATCACATCTCATGAAGACATGAAAGAAGACTTCTAGAGCTGCTTCATAAAGTGGTAAGAAAGAAGGGATGCATGTTTGAATCAAGAGGGGGTACAGTAAAGAGGATTCATGGCTATGTGTCTTTCACTGTAATACTTTTTAAAATTTAAACATTCACTGTATTATTTCAATCACACCTTGCATAATTCACACAATTCTAACACATGCATCACTTGTGCTGCTGTTTCTACAGGAAGTGCACTGGAAATTCTAGTTTCTGACACTGTATTTCTTATGTTAAGACAGAGAAAGAAACGATATCCTCTTTCTCTCCTTACCCTCCTGCCCTCCAGGTGGCCCAGTATCCTGGCCGGGACTCCTGAGAGCTTCCAGGGCTCCAGAGAGGCTAGGGTGAAGAAATGAGGGACAGGGAAGAGGTCTCCACAGAGGGCACACCTGTGGGACTGGAGAAAGGGTAGGGTCTGGAGTCTACATTCAGACAGATGAGCAAACAGGAAAATGAACTGGGCCCAGGAAACAGGCTCTTACCATGATGCTGAGGGGAGATGGAGCTGCAGAGGAAAAGGGCAAAAGAACAATAACTAATGTAGGAGCGAGTGGTTCCAGGCTGAGAGGGCTTGGCACTTAGGTACCTACCGGAGCCTCCTAAAAATGGGATGAGGATGCACTCATCTCAGGAACGGAGAAGTGGTTTTCAAGTGCACAGCTAGTGTGACCCATGCTTGGTCCTCCAGGGTCAGGAGGGTTTTCTTGCTCCTGTCCCCACAAACGGTGCCTCCAGGTGCCTCATCTTGCCCACCAGGGTGATCCATGCCTAGTCTCTCCATCTCTCATGTTCAGATAGAGGAAAATGAAGACAACACTTCCCCGATTCTCTCAGAGCCGGGCTCGGGATGCCAATGGGTTATGCAAATTAGAACTGAATAAGATGAGAAAGATGGACGATAAGGGAAAGCCTGCCTTCCTGATGCTGCTGAGCATTTCTGCACACCTTGAGGCTGCGCTGCCACTCTGAGCCCCTCTGTCTATGGCCTACCTGTGATGCACTCAGGACCAGCCAGATGCTTCCTCCCCACTCCCTCTGCCCCTCCTGACTTACTAGGTGGGACCCTTGGCTTCCAAGTACCCGGAAGGAGGCAATTACGGTTTCCTGTGTCTGACTTTGCAGGTGCTGTTTCTTCTCCATAGATCCCTTGCTTGCTCTCCTTTACCTGGCCAGTTCCTACAACCTCCTCACCAGAGCCAGCGCTTGAACCCAGGCAGCTGACTCCACAGTCCAGGCACTTTGCCACCAGGAAGGAGGAAGGGAGGGCTGGGAAGACAAGAGGTACTGGTAACCAGGTCCCAGGGGGACAGACATGTGTAACATGCACATATAAGCCAGATGCTAATTTATTAAACTGCAGGCCACACAGACCTGCCAGAAAGGTCCTGTGTGGCTTCTTAGGAAGGACTTTATCTCGGAGCATGGATCCATAGGCTATGTGTTGCTCACTCACCTTGGCAAAGAGGGAAAGAGTAGAAGCCCATGCTACAAGTGTCACATCGGGGGCCCTCCACTCCCGGGCGGCACAGGCACCTTCTCTGGTTGTCACATACTCTTGGGAGGACACCTTGCAAGTTACAGTCACACTCTGCAAAGGACAAGGACCAGAGATGTCAGCAGGGCCTTCACTCTCCACGCCTTTGTGCATTTCTCCCTTCCTTGGGTTTCCATCATGGAAATAGAGTGCAATGAAGGATGGCTTGTAAACATTCTCCACCTTCTTAAAGGGAAATAAAGTAAATATTCAGGAAGGTCAGAGGCACCCTTTAAAAAACACCCAGAGATGGGCACTAGTTTACAATATATTTATAATCTTTCAACATCTATCTCTGTGGAAAGACCTTTTTTTGCCTTCCTAATTTGAGTATTGTACAGTAAAACTCCAACATAGTAGATTCCCACCCAGTGGTAATTCTGAATTAAACACATTTATACCTTCCACTTTCCACTTTATAGGAGAGAAGAAATGGACATAATTTCAGCCCCATGTCACGCCAGTGCAGCTTTGGGGGCTTCCCTGGGAGTGTCTCACTTCATCCCCAGAAACGGGACCTTCCCAGCAGCCAAAGAGCCTCTGATGCCCCACACAGCACTTTCTGCCTCATGGCCTTTGCCCAAGCAGGTACCTCTGCCCGGCCAGCTCCTAGCTGGTCCTGGGTACAGACACTCTTTCTCACCTTTCAGGTGTGTCTCAGCCCTTGGAAGCTCTCCCTCATGGCTGTATAAGTGAGCTTCCCTCCCTCTCCTTGTTCTCTGTCTTGGCTGGGTTTGTCTTTTCACTACAGTTTCATTTTTGACATCACCCACTGGCTTCCATTTTTTACATCACCGATTTTGACCAATGGAATGAGACCAATGCAGTCTTGTGACTTCTGAGCCCAGGTCTCCACCCACCTTGCATGGTCCACACCCTCTGGAGACCCTGAGAGCGTGGGAGAGCCCAGCTTGGCTTTCTTGAGGATGAGGGGATGGAGAGAGAGGTGCCAGCATCCCCAGCCAAGCACAGCCCCAGCAGACCTAAGAACACCCTGACAGCCCACACAAGGGAGGGAAATGACCTCTGTGGTTTTAGGCCTCTACATTTTGGGGCAATTTATTAAGCAAAAATGGAGAAGCGAAAGTCTAGACACCTGAAGACTTCATGAGCACTCACACTAGGACCTTTCTACCATCGAAGAGTATTTTTCAGGAAATAAATATGTCGCCAAAGGAGAGGGCTCTTCCTTGACTACATTATGAATATGAATAATAAAGTCAAGGAAGAGGCCAGTGAGATAGGTATGCAGCTCATAGTTGAGGAAAAAGATGCTCAGAAGTGGTAATTAACTCGCCCAAGTTCACACAGCCAGGAGAGCAGAGTCAAGATTTGAACTTTGGTCTGCCTGATTCCAAAGCCATGTTCTTTCTATTATTCTAAGAATACAAATTGGTGACAATTTAAAAAATAACTTTCAGAATATATTATATATCTATATCTCTATCTATCTAGATCTCTATCTAGATAGGTAGATATAGTTAGATAGATAGATAGATAGATAGATATTCCACCCAATCTCATATTGAAAACACTTACATTTCTAAATATGAAAAATGTTCCCCTAAGGAAGAGCTTGAAAGATTCAGAGATTTGACTGGTTTCACCCTACTTACAAAGGGAGGGAAGACTTGTGCATTTTAGAAAGATTTTTTTACTATGGTTAAAATAATAGATAATGTAAGCAGTTAGCTAAATTTCTCCTCTTCTCCTTTGCCCTCAACCTTTAACCTTTCAGATAAAAGATTAATAACAAAATTGTGGAATTAATTTTTCTAATGTAGTAATTGAGGATAAGAAAGTAATTCAGAGCAACATTACAGTCGTTGCCTGATCTCTAATCTGTTCATACTTAAACTGGACAGTCATTTAATTTGATAAAAAGTGCACGGAAGTGAAGCAGTTTGGAACACACCACACAAAATACAGTTGGCCCTCTATCCATGGGAGTTGTGTCTGTGGATTTGGCCAGCTATGGATTGAAAATATTTGAGAAAAAATCTGTGTGTACTGAATGTGTGTACACTTTTCCCTGTCATTATTCACTAAGCAATACAGTATAACAATTGTTTACATAGTACTGATGTCGAATTAGGTTCAAGTATATGGGACAGTGTGCATAGGTTATATGCAGCTATCAAAGCTTTTGGGTAGGAGGCTTGGGCATCTGAGACTTGGGCACCCTGACACTCATCCCTCTAGGACATGGATTATTTTGACCCCCAGGCACTGAACAAACAACAGGAAAGGCTCTCTGCCCTCCCTTTCCTACCTCAAAGGAGGTGATAAGGTGTCCCATGAGAAAGGTACTTCCCTGACCCAGGAAGGGGACATTCTTAGCACCAAAGACAGAGAATTGACTGGAATGGATCTGGTAAGCAACACTGTAGAAATCACCCTTCTCCACCTTTAGTTTCTCCATATATTTCCTACCCATTGTCCCACAGATCCACTGTCTTGTCACATTCTCACTATTTTTTTTCCTTGTGTAACATGTATATAAGCTGTTGGACCTAAAGGCTTCTTTAGGTCTTTATTTTCCTACTGAAGATTCCTGTGTTCATGTAAAATACTAAATAAATTGTATGCTTTTTTCCCTGTTAATCAGCCTTATGTTCATTTAATTCTTAAGACCAGTCACAGAGCCTAAGAGGGTAGAAGGAAGTTCCTCATTCCCTACAGAAGTGACCGAGGGCACGCTCATGACCGGAGATGCCTTGGAGCTCAGGCTGGCATGAGGACCACCCTGTTCATCCCTCACAGCATCCACACAAGGTCCCAAGGCCACAGCTATGCAGACTGAGAATGCTTCAGGGAAAGGGAATCTCTTTCTGTGAATTATAGTCTCAGTATTAAACCAAGCTTTGAGATTTGATGACAAACTTGGTCTATACCTTAGCATTGAGATTCAAAGAATCTTGACATACGACAGAAACAGAAAGACTATCCCACACTCCTCCCAGGCCATGTGACTGTGTCTCATGAATACAGTTCTTGAATCCTTCTCTCCCACCAGAGTTCAGGACCTCATCCTTTCTTGCCTCTCTGATTCTAAAATTCTCCTAAGAAGGCCATCTATATCCTGCCTTGTGCCCTCTAACTCATTCTCCATGCTGGCACCAAGAGTGATCTTTCAAAAATTGTGAACTTTTCCATATCACTTCTTGGTTTTAAGACCTTCAAAGATGACCCAATGCCTCTGGACACAGTCCAACGTCCTCCACAAGTGTGACAGAGTAGATCCTTCAAGTCTTCCAGGCTGCCAGTGACCCACTAGCACCTTTCATGTAAATTAAGAAAAGCTGCCCCTTCCCTAAGATGATTTTCTGTCACCTGCTGTAAAACAATCATCACAGAGGAACAAATCTGCAATGTCATTGGTGGGGACAGCATCCTGAGATGAGGCATGGCTGTGCCCTGGCTCCCCACCCAGAGATTTCCCACCCTCTAGGTGACCTCTCCCTGGGCTTCTTCCCCACCCTGTGACTCAGCCCAGGGCCCCCCTGCCATCCCTGTCCATCTCTATGCCTTCTCTTTGTTCCTTTCTGCCTGGATAACTGTTCTTTGTGCTCCAAACAGCTCAAATCTCCTCTTTGCTCTAGAGAAACCTACTTACCTTCCTTGTCCCCCTCCACCCTGCCTCTCTCCCTTCCCTCTGTCTTTGCCTCTGGCTGTAGGGCTGGTGTCCTGCATGCCGCGCTGTTCTTCACAGCCATTGCTCTTAGCTCCTGCTGTCGTCTGTCCCAAACTGGGGGCTCTCAGGGCACAGCAACTACATGGCAAGGCCTAGTACAGAAAAGGTACTTAAGCAAAGTTCAACGAATAAAGAATATGCTAAACACTGCAGCCTGCACTTTTGCTCAGTAAACACCATTCCTTAAATTCTAGTTTATTTGCAGAGTTTCCAACTAAGCCATCAGAATTTGCCTATCTCTAAGCCTTATCTGCCAGGTAGATAAAGTGCCCACTTCGGGAGGAGATCCCCAGGAAAGCTTTCCCCCAAGGCTGTCCCCTGAACTGCTTGCAGTTCTCCTTGTTTAGTAAGGCCCCTGACAAGGACAAGCAGCTCCTCCTTACAAAGCCATTGGGGGAATCCAAACCTTTTCATGATCTTTGTCAAGAATCCTCCTTCAATAATAAAACAGGACAGCTCTGTCTTCAGGCCGAATGGGCTGCTCACAGGACCAGCCCAGATCACTTCAATCTCCCTGATAAAGTAAGCATCTAGGCTCTCTCCAGCTGTTGGTTTTGCTTGTCACTGCTCTTTGAACTTGGAAGACTAGAAGTGTCCCTCCAGAGAGTATGCTTTGGGTATAATGTCATTTCCCAAAGGAACCCTTGAAGATGCGTCTAATAATAACTCTTGACCTGGAAAATTCTAATAATATCCAAGGTCATGAAATACAGTGAAAAACCTGAACACAGACAGACCTGCAAAACTTTTCTCATTTGTTCCAGCTCTTCAGTGCTGAGAATTAAGTAAAGTCATCCCTGGTACCTCCAGGATACCAGAATCTGAGAATGCTCTCAAGTCCCTTGTATAAAAGGGCATAGTATCTGTAGTATTTGCATATGACCTGTGTACATCCTCTCATATACTTTAAAACAGGTTTAGCTTACTCAAAATACCTAACCCAATGTAAATGCTGTGTATGTAGTTGCTACAATGTATCACATAGGGAATGAAGATAAGAATAAATTCTGTACACATTGAGTACAGACACTTTTTAAGAAATATTTTCTATCTGCAGTCACTTGGTCTGCAGATATAGACTCTATGGATATAGAGGGCCAATTTTCTAGAATAGTGGTCTCAATCTTGGCTTCACATGGAAATCTGGTAAAATACCATTGCCTGATGTGGAATCCCACACCCAAATTCCGATGTAATCCTTGAGTCTGTAAACCATGGCCTGGGGGCCAAATTTGTCCCTGTTATAGTAAATAGCGTTTTTCTGGAACACAGCCACATGAACTCATTCCCGTATTGCCTGTGGTTGTAACCACACTATAACAGCCATTGAAGACATGTGAGATAAGGCCCATGAAGTCCAAAATCTTTACTATCTGACCCTTCCCAGTAAAGTCTGCCGACCACTAGAAAGGAATTTCTACCATCTCCATCTGCAGTTCTTCACATGAAACATATATCAGGATTATCTGGAAAACTTGTTAAAAATACAAGCCTGAGCTTCATCCTGGAAATCTAGATTAAGATCTTGGGTAATAGAAAGGAATTTATATTTTGAAAACGCAGTGTTCTGAACCATGCCCCTGCCCCAAGAACTGCAGTAGTTCAGGACCTGGAATCTTCAAAGGGCCTTAAAGAATTAAAATTTTCAGGGATGAGAGGGTGTTCAGTATTGTCCAGGGCTGAATATTTCCTGGCAGTTTACAAATTTGTGCTTCTAATATTCACTGCTGGGACTTAGGGCTCCCCAAATAGGTGCTTTTAAAATGTGCTACAGACCAAATTACAGTGGGTATCTGCGCATTTAAATTCGCCAACAAACCTAACTGCACTAGGTACTTCTTTTACAGCCTCCCTAACATTTTGTAACACACCTCTGAGTTTCCCTTAAAGCTCAATTAAATTTCTTTACCTGAAGTTACGACCAGTCTACCTAGGGAGAGGAAGAAATTGAATAACATAGGATTACTGTAAACACACTAAAAATAGGGGATCTGAGCATTCCTGTAGAAGAAAACCAGAGAGAAGTGTGTTGTAATCAGGACTCAAGCACTAAGTTCTGTAATTTATAAACAAGAACCATTTGCTGACTGCCATGGCACTCAAAGGATACCACCTTTAATGATATTTGACCCACACCCTGTTCATGCTCCTTATTGAGCCAGTTCCACGGGAAAGGACAGGCCCGAGTAGAGAATGTGGGTGGGGAACAGGTCAAGTAGGTGACATCTACAAAAGTCCCCTGACAAACTCCAGGAAAGAGAACTTGAATTTGAGCTTGGCCACCCATACAGGATGTCAGAAAAGAAAGTGGAACATAACGTTTTCATTGATGTTAAACCAAAAAGGAAGTTACTTGCCTTTTGCTTTTCCAGCTCTTGGATCTTCTGGACTTGGAGTAGAAATTGGAAAAATGGGAGTTCCTATAAAATAGTTTATTAAAAAAACAGAGAGAAAATGTTCAAATGGGAAGGTGAACAAGGCAGAGGGGAAGGGGAAAAAAGAGAATAGAAGGAAAAAACAGAAACAAAGCTTTTGTAAATAAGGAAGGGAAAGAGTTTTGAAGGGAGGGGAAGGGAATGGGGAAAAAAGAAGGAATCAAGAAATATTATGTACAGGTACAAATTCCCTGTGATGAATGCGATCATTATATATATCAAAAGTGTACCAATAAAATCAATTTAAAAAAAATTTTTTAAATGCAGATTATGGTTAAGGAGATTAAAGTAAAATATTGAGTTGCATTAAACAGAAGGAAGGCTTTCTCACTTAGTGAAAGGTAACACGTTGACAGTAAGCTAAGTGGGCAGTGTTTTCTCTCTTTCCAGTGTCTGATGATTGAAACCAGATGGGTCAGATATTCTGATTTAAGATTAATGGACAGAAGGAGTATTTTGTGCTCACAATAGCTAAGTCTCAGCCTAAGCAGGAACGAGCTTGGCTCTTTCAGCAGTTTTATTGGTTTTTAATGTAAAACTGATTCTAGCTTTTAAAAAATACTTCTTTCACATATTTTCTCTTAAATTTTGTTTGTTATAAAACTGACTCAGTCTCTTCTTCTTTCTACTGAAAAGCAAGGGCAATGTGTGCTCAGCTCCGATCCAATAATCTCACATGTGAAGTTGATAAAGTCCTAATGTGATGTCATGGTATTTGGGCTTCAGACATTGGTTCCTTTAAATATATTTTATCATCTGAACTAGGACGATATCCACAGTGAAAGTGGATGTTTGTTTGTTTTGGTTTTCGTGGTGTTTGAGATTGAACCCCGGGCCTTCACACTGAGCTACATCCCCAGCCTTTTTAAATTTAGAGACAGGGCCTTGCTAAGACACTAAGTGGCCCAGGCTGGGCTCGAACTTTCCATCTTCCTGCTTCAGCCTCCCAGAGTGCTGGGATCACATACATGTGCTACTATGTCTGGCCTCTGGGTGCTATTTTAATAATTACCCCAGGCCAGCAGGTGTAAACTGGAACAAATAGAGTCACCCCATTCACAAGAGGCCTGCCCAGTGTTCCCACAGCTCAACATACTTTTCCTGGGACTCATCGGTAGCAGTCATGGGGCTGGGTGGGGATGGAGTTACCACAACTAATGTAGCAATGGGAAAGGGGATTCTTTTTGAGACCAAGTTTCTTTGTCTTAACCCAAAAGTACAGTTTTTACTGCTGCAGAAGAAAAAGAACCAACGCTTCTGCCCCAGTTTGCATAGCTGCTTTATGGTCTGTAGAATTTCCAACAAATATATGCCTTGTCTCATAGTGGCACTAAGATGTTGCAGGTGTGTGGAGGTGGCTCTAAATAGCTTGGCCTATTGCACAGCAGGAGGGAAAAAATGTATTCTCCTTCACCCTATGACATTTACTATGTGTATACAAACAGACACCTGAAAGCTCATGACATTTCTTCTGGGTCTATTAAGAAAAGTCACACGAATGGATTACTAGTAAGTTGAAATATCCAATATTTGACCCTCTAACCTAATGAGATGACAATGTCTGTAGCACAACATAACAACATAGGGATAAATAAGACTATAAAATGTATTTACATCATAACACTTACGCATTCCAGACCTTTGGGAACATTCGAGTAACTACTACTTCCCTGGCCCCACATATGTCCCCCCACCCGCCCGCCATGTCCTCAGGTGTTAATGCACAGAGACCAGAGACAGCAGAGAGGGTGGCCTCTTGTCCTGCAGCAGGTACTTACTAGAACAAACCGGGAAGTTATAGTATCCAGCCGCACACTTCTCACAGTAGTCTCCGTGGAAATTCGGCTTGCAGCGACAGAGGCCAGAGCCCCGTTCACAGCCATCTGAGCGTCCAGCCTCACACTGGCAAGCTAAAGAATCAAGAGTTTCCAAGGATCAGTCCTTCACTGAACCATGCAGAGCAGAAATGTCCTGGTATTTCCTAGCACTGCTTCACACTGGATCGGTGGTCCCCAATTACCCTTGGAGGGTACAGCCATTTCCCTCTCCACCCTTGATTGTTGGTTCTCAGCAACTGAGCCTCGTGGGCTATCAGGAACAGCTTTCACGAACATCCTCACTGGGCTGCTCTCAAGAATGTCACTGATGACACTGAGCATTCCTCAGCTCCCTGAATGAGACACAAACTACTCATATACAGGCTGCCATCAGAGAGCTGGGTGGGTAAGCTGGGCTGTCACTCCTGGCAGGTCTGTTCAGACTCAACGCCTAGATATGGACAGATAGTCTGTAGACAGCCTAACAAGATCACTCCCATCACCCCAATGTTAGATTTGAAGGGTACAGCTTGCTGAAAGCAGTGTTTGCAACCAAACATGATAGTCAGGTTTGCATTTGAAAGTAACATGGCTGGAGTATAAGAGGTTTGTAATCCCAACTTGGGGGCTTCCCTTGATCTGGCAGTGAGTGACCCTAGACAGCGAAAATACTGCCATCACTCATCTGGTCCATCTCCTATGAGGAACTGGGAGAACAAGGCTCTTCTGATGTCTTGCCCATAATTTGTTTACCATTTATGAGTCCTACTGATAGATAGCAAGCTTCCATGCATCTATGGACCACTTAATGAAGAGGAACAAAACTAGGAAAGCAATAAAGCAAGGTTCTGAACAGGTAGGGTTATATTAACAACGTCCCGTTTTCCTTTGCCATGCCCATCCTTTGTGAGCACAAGACAAGCCACAGGCATACTCTGTAGGGTGATGAGAAAGAAGGAAGGAAGTAGAAATACTTTTTAACAACTAAAAGTGCCCTAGAGAGAAGCAAATGGTGTTACATATTCTTTGGGCTTTGACGTTCTCAAATGTTAATATAGGAAGAATTCACTTGGGGGTTGGCACAGAGACTGACTTCAGAGCTGGATTTGTTTTCCAACAGTGACAACCGGACAGCATAAAATAAGCAGTGTTACATAGCCTCTAGGTCGGTGGTGGAAAACCCATGGCACACGTGCCAAATTGGGCTGCTTGTGTCACTGAAAGCTCTCAAAGGTTTGCCATCACTGCTATAGGTTATACGTGTAGAGTAAAGTCTATAATCTGGCCTACGACTCACGGTTCCACAGGGGAAAACTAGAGCCATTTTTCTGTATAATAAATGTGTTGCAGCACAGTCATGCCAGACAAAGATTAATAACATCCTGGATCTACTAGTTAGTGGTTTTGTCACCCAGATTGAAGTATTTAGCTACTCAAAGCCTTTGGTTTTCTCCTATCTAACAATGAGGACAATGATGCAATGTCCTAAGTTTTTTTTGTCATAATTAAATAAGATCTCCATGATTTCCATGTAAGTCGGCAATGCTTTGCATCTGGCAAATGCTCAGTGAACCACAGTAATATTAAATATTATGACTATTACTAATCCATGTGCACTCATTACTATGTTGCTTTGATGCTAATTCTGACAGAAGTGGAAATTACTGGACCACAGAAACATATCAAAAGAGAACACAGGGGAACTAATATTTATTGCAACCTTTTACAAAACAGTCCAATGCTAAGTACTTGGCTAGGGGCTTCAATATAATTCTATGTAATCTTATAAATTATATTATCATTTCTATTTACCTATAAGAAATCTGCTCAGAGAGTTTATGTAACTAGAGGTCAGACAGCTAGCAAGGAGCAGAACCAGTAGTCTGAACAGAGAGAGAATGAGATTGTTCACCAGTTAGTACTGGGCCTGATGGCTTTTTTGGAGCAGTACGTACAGTCTTAGATACACAAAGCTGATATGAAACTTACGGGTGCAGCCATAGGTGTCATTAACTTGAACCCCATTAGGGCGATAATAACCCTCAGCACACTCCTCACAGTTCACACCTGCCGTGTTGTGCTAGAAAGAAAACAAACAAAATTTAGAAGGAACAATATTGGAGAAGTCCAGTGCTCTTTGTTTTGTGCAACTCCCCTGGAAAAATACTAATTCTATCATTTCCAGTTGTAATTTCAAAGCAACTAAAAACATAAGCATTGATCTTAACCTTGGCTCTCCAAGATGTGCCACAGGATACTGGCTGAACATTGGCTCTGAAGACAAATTTTATCATTCGAAGAGGAAATGATGAAAAGATTCATGAACTGGACACCCCAGGCTGTTCCCTCTACCAAAGAATTTACTTTAATGAAGCACTTGACATTTGAGTAAGAAAAAAGCTCAAGAACTAGTTCCTGTGGCTTCATTCAGAAGAAGTGATGAATGAATAATAAAGCAACTGTAGTTTAACCCAAGAGAATAAAAAGGTCATGTGTGCATATATATCATCTCCAATTTTGGAAGAAATAGCACATATAGATCTTCATCTCTAGCCATTCTAATTTTAGCAGTGCTTTCATCACGAATCCATTTTCTGGACATTTCTATTATATGAATAGAAAGTGTAGGCACGAGTCTCAGACACAGAGCTCATTTTAAAGTATGATACTAGGCAGCTTTTTCTAGTTCATGGTTAATCCTCGTAATTACCACAAAATCAAATTACCCAACATGCACCACCAGTTTCCAAGAACTATACACCATGGATCTAGCTTGATTCTGCCTCTTTCTAATTTGGAAATGCTTAGGAGGACAGTGTTCTTTCTTTATGGAAAGGAAAGGCAGTAGGAAATTAACAAGAACAAAAATAACATACTTTGACCCACACAAAAGTCTACACAAAAACACAGAGGGAAGAACAAAGACCCATTCTATGTCCTCTCCCTGTTTTAGAGGATTTTATTAACTCCAGACTTATTTATTAACACCCTTTGTCCTGTGGGCTAAAATCTGAATTCAGTTTAATATTGAGGTTAAAAACAATGATGGCCACTTCTCTGACTCAACATTTATATGCACAGATTATGGGCAATTAGGGAACAGCTGTAGCCCACCCTTCCTTCCATCAAATGCCAATTAACCCTCCACTCTGTTGCTTGCCACTGTGACTTATAATGGACAAAGGTCAACCTCCCCAATCTTTTCCAATTAGAAGAGAAAATAAGAAATGTTCTCTGAAGTGGGCAGTCCAAGCTTTCCCTTTCAGCACAAAACATCTTCCACAAAGAAGTTATATTTTAAAGACACAAATAATAGCAATGAAAGACCAAGAATGAACAACAGATTATTCTGCAGATGCTTATAGTTTGCTTGAACTCTTGTGTTGTTCTCTCGGACCTGCATGACCACAGGGCGAGATGCACCGCTGAATCTATCCATGGGCACCATGGCCCTAGTTGGACCAAGACCAGGTCAAAACCCAAGGAAAGTGGTCATTTCATGACTTCTATATTGGAGGTTCTGGGGGAAGCAGTCTTCATGAGAGAAGTGGGTGCTTGAAGTTGCATTTTCATGACACTGTAAGATGAGAAACCTCAACTATCCAAACTGAAGAGTGTAGTGCATGCTGATTGAAACCATGAGCAGAAAGCCCACTCCACAAAACCCATCCTTTGGCCCCACCCAAAGAAGCCATCTATGGAAGCTCACCTAGAATCCAGGCCCTGCTCTGATCAGTCTTAGATCTGAATTCCTCCAAGCAGAGCTTTGTGTACATGTTTTTCAATCTTCAGGCAAATCCTCCCATCTCTCTACTTCTGTCTTTCAATTCCTTGACCATAACTACAACTCCGTTTCTGGCTTCCATTTCTGTGACTCTTAAGCACATGGAGACTATTGTGTAGTCTGTTCACTGGCTCCCCTGTCCCAGGAGGTCCTACAGTGGAGTTTCTTTACTAATGCCTAAGGGACTCACCTGATCTGGCCTTTGCTATCTTTCTGACCTCATCCAATCCAACTCCTTTCCAGCCACACTGCTCCCCGCTATGGCCTTGCAGGTCCCCCTGCCTATAATGTCAACTCCCCTATCACCACCACCAACAACAGATGCCTGGCTCATTCCATCACTTCTTTCAGGTATTTACTCAGATGTCACATCTCGGGAAATTTCCACACTAATTAAATTTTTCCTATCTAAACAAATAGTTAAAATAGAAAACCAAATAAATAAAAATGAAATCAATACTGCATGAGAATACAGGTATCTCTGATAACTCCTTGCCCTACAGAACAGTGATTGGGTCTCCAGTTCTGGTTGTGTGACCACTTGCCAAGGTTTGAATGTGTCTCCTCCAAAATGTAAGTTTGGAAACTTAATGGCCAATGCACCAGTGTTAAGAGCTGGGTCCTTTAAGAGGTGATTAGGCCATTAGAACTCCTCCCTCATGATTGCAGTGAAAGGCCTTACAGAAGAGGCTTCAGCAGCAGTTGGCTCTCTTGCCCTTCTGCCTTCCATTATGTAAAGACAGTGTTCCTCTCTTCCAGAGGACATAGCAGTGAGATCCATCTTGGAAGCAGAGGGCAGCCCTCACCAGACAACTGAACCTGCCACACTTGACCTTGGACTTCTCAGCCTCAACAATAGTGAGAAAATAAAAGTCTATGCTTTGTGAATGCTCCAGTCTCAGGCATTCTGTTATAGCTGCACAAACAGACTGAGACATTACCTGAAAGTCTCCAGGACCAGCCCGACTATAATGTTCCCACTTCACATCCCCAATCCTGAGCTGATGGCAGGTAATTTATTATTCTCCTCTTACAAGTATTTCACAGAACTTGCTCTAGGATATGTATCCTTTACCAACAAACCCAAACTTGATGTTAAAGTTTTATTAACTTATTGATTTATAACTCACCAAGCCAACTGGCCTTGAAGTGCCCCCTCTCCTCTCCCTGCCCAATCAACATTCCCATGTCCCTCTGTATATGACATAGGACAAGGCTTTCCCCTCAATTGAAGAACCAGATGTTCCAAATCATTAATACACTGCCCATCCTTCATTTCCATTAGAAGTGCCATTTCATGAAAAGTGACATTTTAACATCAAAATGAATTTGTTTCAAGACTGTTAGGGTCTATTGGACTACTTATCCCTACATTATACCTAAACTCAATACAGATTCATGATAGGTTTTAAATCTCAGAAGACCACTCTCCCTCATAATTGTTCATCTTTTCTAAATTATATATTCCTATATATTCTTTTCTCAATAAGAACTTCAGAATCAGTCTGTTCTCTTCATAAAAGTCCTGTTGAAATTCTGATTGTGATGGCCCTGAATTTATAGATGGGTTTCGCAAAAATGATGTAAGTATAGTATTAACCCTGGAAACACACTGTGCCTCTCAGTGTAAGTCTTCATTTATGAATTTCAATGAAGTTTTATAGGTTTAGCTACAGATTCCTCAATCAACTGCTTTGTTGCCTCTTGGAACACCTCTAAATCATTCCAACATTCACAGCTGTGTGTTCCTCCATGTATGTGTTTTTGCTTTCTATCTTCCTGAAATCTCTTGAAATTCTGGTTTGTTGATAACACTCTTTCTTTCCTAATTTTCACATTATTACAGATTCTGGAAGGAGGGCATATTGTGCTTTTAAAATATATTTTCTGTCAAGTTGTAGGATTCATTGCAGTGGAGAATGTGGCCATATGTGCTCCATCTGCTTCTGGATCCATTTCTTAGTTTATGTAGTATACATGTGTGACAGAGACAAAAAATTTGGAAATACTGAGATACAAACAATGAGGTAGCAAGTGTAAGACTTAGATCAAAACTTATGCTTTTGCCCCGCTGCCATTCCAAGCTCCTAGAGCAGAGAAGGCGCCAGAAGCATCCACCCACCGTGGAAATGAGAAGACACATAAACAAGCCTCAAAAACAGACTTCTGGATCACCTACAGCAACCCCTAAGGGAAACCAGATGGAACAATCTGATACTCAACAACCTGGACTCCCCGAACTGGCAACAAAAGAGGATCTGGGAAAAATGAAATCAGAAATAATTACTCAGATAACAGCAAA